AAAAAAAAAAAAAAAGAAAATCAGTCACACTTGTCAAAGATAAAAGTTCTGAAGCTCTAAGATTTCTTTTCCTCCACAACATAAGCATACTTCAGTCCGTAACTGCTAGTTCCCCACACAAGCCCATCAGTGCTCAGAAGTCTGACCTGGAGGGAGAAGCCTCTCTAAATGCAGGAGCTAATTCAATCACTATGTCGGCTTAGCTTTGGGGATCTTATACGTCACTCATGTAAATCTGGGTTGATCTGTTGTGGTTTCATGATGCATTCATTTAGGACATCAAGCTGGATCCACGCCATGACACCAAACGCTTCATCCACTGCTTTGTTTTACCTTCTAAGCCGTTCAGATCTTTTAAAGATTTCACAGTTAAATTTAACATGCCAACAACATCAATCCCAATACACTAATATTGGCAGTTCATCAACTAGTGGTTAAGAACTGAAGTAATCGTAAAACTTATGGCCACATAATTCATAGCCACCTCATTTCAGGTAATGGTAATGTGATGTATTTTCATGATGCAATACATAATAAAGTTACCTACAAACAGGAAGCACAAATTTCGCCAACACTACTCCTCCTATATAAAAGTCACATGCAAAAAGCCACGTACAAGCATCAGTACTGGCATTTGCATATAGTCTTGGCCTCACAACCACAAAGCTTACTTGTATACCCTGCAGATCAAATATCAGTTTCTACTTACTAACGTGTTACTACTACAACACGATGGCTTCTTTTCTGAATACAGAGATATATACAAAAACCCTCGTCCTAAAAAGAAGCCTCATGTTTCTATTTTTCTGTCTTACTGAAGATGCAGCTTCTCTTAGTGAGGATGTTCTAGATATTCCCTTGTCCTGCCATCAGCTCCATAAGGTACTAGAGCCAGATGCTTCCAGCTCACACGCACGCTCGTGCAAGGACAAGGATGCATTTATATAATACAGTCCAAGAACCAGAATAAAATTGTTCAGATACAACACCCACATTTTGTCTTTTTTGCCAAGTACAGCTGCCAAATACTGGGCTAGATTTTTAAAGATGAACCACAAATCAAAAATTTAATAAGATACAAATTTAACATTTTTTTCATTATGGTGGAAGAAGACAAAAGGAGAAAAAAAATGCACAGTACTCAAAATTTCCTTCTGCTTTCAGCAAAGGCTACTGACTCAAAGTAGTTAATTGGAAGTTGATTACCATATAGTTTCACAAGTTCCATTAACAAGTTCCATTAACTGTAGCAGTTCTTGGCTACCTCTACAAAAATCTTAGTCTAAAACTGCTACTCAGAATATTAAGTAGAGTCTGTGGCACAGAGCAGGGTAGACTGCTCTTTCCTTCGATTTGTCTCATTCCTTAAGGTGATCATTCTTCAGGAAGAATAACATGCAGTTACGTGATTAAAAACAGAGACATTAGCCATTGTCTCTACAATGCCTTATAGTAAAGGGTGTAGCAAAGAAGGTAATCCATGTATCTGGTCTAATCTTTCTAAGCATTTCTTCTGAAGGTACTTGATTCAGCAGAAGTTCTATTTCCAGTCTGCTGAAAGTGAATCTAGACAGCAATTCAGCCAACTATACTTCCCACAAAACAAGGAAAGGATATATCATATCCTGAAATACTTCTGTTAGTGGAAGAAGGACAAGTGCTCAGAGATCCTCAAATGTGAAGTTGGTATTTATCTGAAGATTTAAGTTTGTGGATGTAATAGTTTGTGTAAAAGTCACGTGACAGAGTACACACAATTTGGAAAAACTGTAATATTCAACTGTCTATTTCTTTTGCCAGGAAGCCAAAAAGTTCTTGGGTCTCTCAAAGATGATTTGCATCTTTTAATTTTATTGCTTCTTGACAGTCGACTTTTAAAAAAAACAAAACAAGACGTGCACAAGTTTTCCTTCATTACTCCGATATATAACAGTTGTACCACTTGGAATGGAAATCACAGCATGTACATGAAGGCATGGATAAAGAAAAAGTGAATGGGTAGATCTGACAGAACTGGACAAACATAAGAGAGTTGGCTAAAACAATCCCTAAGCTACCCATACCTCACAGAAGATGCATTCAGCTCGTGAACAACGTTAAGCTACAAATACGAGGAACAGACAGCAAATCTGCCTCCAAGATGCAGCTACTGACCATCACAGTTTCCTTCTGCTGCGATGAAGAAATTTCTACATCCCTCTTTACACTGATTCAAAGCACAGAGTAGTGTTTTGAATTTAGTTTCTAAAAGTAGTCAATTGAAAACATTATCTCAGTATCATTGTCAAGACTTCCTACTGCTAACAGGTTACATTTCAGAAAGGTTAAAGTGCAGTGCATTTTCCAGTATTCCAAAAATTTCACTCATCTTCTCTAATATCAGAGGTTAGATGATATTATATACTTCCATGTACTATTTATATGCACCGGGGTGGTATCAGATTATTCAGACACTACTAGAAGCACACATACTCCATGCTACTCATTTGCTACAACAATCTGTAAAGGCTGGAATCGCTCTCAACTGTTACAACTAAATGCATCACAATAAAACCTGTACCAATAAAGCCCAAGTCCAATATGCAAAGCTACTTTCAAAGTGTGCTTATGCAGAATTTTACACCGTGTGGACTCCAACAACCCCTCCACACACCAATGTAGTAGATCGTCACATCAGCTGATCTCCTCCTTCTAAATAAAACATTTTCCCATTAACAGTAACTCTGAATGTACCTCTATGCATAGCAGTGTCCTCACTAAAACTGCAAAGTATTGTCTTTTCTTCTTAAGCAGCATGCTCTTCTTTTAATAACTGACTTGACGTGTGGACAATTGCACCCGCAATTCCCCTCACAAAACCAGGAGAAGCCAGCTCCGCCAGCCAGCGGAACCATTCCTACCAGCAGCTTCCTCAGAGTCAAGCACAGAAGATGCCCCAGCAGCTATACCTAACCAGTAGGAGCATGTCCTTTGGTGTGATTTTTAAATATAATTTTGAATTTATAATAAATCACTATTGTTTCATTAAAAGGATACTCAGAAATGACCTCCATTAGAATATTCACTGCTGGAATAGGAGATCTGGATCAGAAGACTTCATTTTGTATGGTGATGTTCAAGTAATAAAAGGGATTGATACCTGCAATTTATGGAAACTAAGGCCAGCAGAAATAAGGGATTTGCCACAGACTGCAAGATGTCCAGTGCAAATCTGAGAACCTTCATTTACCATCACTCTCCAGAAAACAAAGCCACCTTGCTTCATGGATAGCACTGGGAAGTACTTAGACATCTGTTTGGATTGAGGTTTTTTTTTTGTGGGGAAGACTATAGTAATTAATCTGCCCTTAGAAATATCAGGCACTAAACATATTTAAGTATTTTTTTTTCCAAGGAATTATCAAGTGAGCCAGGGAACAAGATACATAAAATTAAAGTACTTGATAAATTGAAACTGCTACAGTAAATAATTATAGTTGAACAATAAATGAAATTAAAACATTACATTTTCCTATTATTTTTATAAGGAGTATCCTATATATCCCAAGTGTAACTTACATTCATGACCCTGGAAGAAAATCAAGGGCTGCTATTTTGATTTCTGGTCATGATTACTGCTCAAATTAGTCTGTGGTAAATTTGTTAAAACTACCAGAAAAATAATATTATATTGCACATTTAAAAACCACCATTCTGCAAATCCATACTAAAAAAAAGCAATATAACTTCATTTCATGTACTTTCTCTAAACACAGCACAGAATGTTTAACACTAAAGAACAGTGTTCAAGAACATCTGTCGATTATGCATGATAGTTTTGTCCTATTATTATATTCCTTAATACTTCAGCTATCTTTTCTTTTTATATGGTATGAAGCAGGGAACAAGGATTATTGTTTTACTCCAATTCAAGAAGTATGAACGCTCACTCGAAATAATTGACATTACTAAAAAACTATCTGTTCTTTAAGAGGGTGCTACTAAAACTGTAATTGAAAGCCAATTTCCAGTTTCAAACACCTGTTAATGTACACAAAAGAAAGGCAGTA